AAATATATGTATATATTTTCAAAAAAATATTGTAATTTTTATTATTTATTAAATACACCCCCATAATTTTTAATATTTATAGATACTCCCCATAACATTTAATATTTATAAATATTCTCCCATATTCATATCTTATTTTTGGGTTTTATTGTATCCCTGTACTCATTTTTTCGCTTCCACGTACCGGTATTGATGCTGCAACTTTTGATGAAAAGAATAAAGTTGAAATTTTGCCCCATATTATTGTGTTACCTGACAAAAGCAGAAGATACCCCATGCATGATGAAGGGAGGGCGGGAGGGCAATAGAGGGCTATGGTCGATGTATGACCTAGCGCCGCATCTGCTATGGAGATTTGGATGGAGCTTCGTATGTGTGATTTTATCCTCAATCCATAAACTTTGTTCCTGAAATTTCATCCAGCAAATTCCTTCCTCTTGTTCTTTTAATTTTAATTGTTGAAAGTATTGGTCCAACGGTGTCTCCCTAGCAGGTCTAGGGTTTGGTTTTTCCTTAGTAGATCTAAGGTTTGGTTCTTCCGGCCGGTGAATTCCTTTCACCTGTGTCCGGCGCAGAGATTGGAGTTGAGACAGATTGACAAGAATCCAGAGTTCGGTGATCGATTTCTTCGTGAGCAGGGTAGCAAGGGCATGGCAACGCTGAAAATGACCGTTAGCGGTGGATTTGCTACGAGCGCGGGAGGAGGAGATTCGTACGGATTTCGAGCAGGTCAGATGATGATTGACAATGGAGGATCAATTAGAGTGATACCAAGGATACGACCTCCTCCTGAACCACCGCCATGGGTTGTGCGAGATGCTAGAGTTCGTGAAAGTTTTTCAACAAGTTTTTATTATTCTGTCTTTTGGTTTCTTGTTATCGTCTATGTTGTTAGGTTTGTCAGTTTGTTTGCGAATTTAGCCTTGTTTTATGTCATTGAGCATGTTTGGATCTACGAGGATATGGATGGCTGTGTTAAGTCCGTTACATGGTTAGCGATTCGTGTTGCTCTTTCAGGGGTGACCGTTTCTAAGGCTCATCATAGGGTTTGCAGTCGTAGTTGTTGGAGTCTAGTTGGTGTCAGTTTTGTTTTTCCTTTGATTGATGTAATGATCCTGAAACTTATGATATGAATAGAGGCTAGTTTTCGTTCAAAAAAAAAAAATACCCATGCATGATGAAAAAAATCTCTGTTTTTTGAACTCGTACGTACAATGTTTTATGTGTATTCTAATTTTTACAAAAAAATATATGAAAATTCACAATTTTTATCCTTTCATATGACAAATACTTTATATGTAACTTTTTAAAGATAAATGATCGAACACTCAACTCTTCGAGGTTTTTAAGCTAAAAGTTTTTCTTAGGTAGATCCGAATACTTAAAATAAGATCTCATGGTTACAATTTGGTTTACAACTTTCGTTTTTAGAAGTAGAATTGAAATACCAATGAAAAATCAAACTCCAAATTTATATATTTTTATATCGTAATGTTTGACTTTTTAAATCTCAATAATTTGTAAAAATAACATTTATTGACAACTCATAGGATTTAATTAAAAAAAACTTTGTTTGATGAATATATTGATGGTGCTGAATTGTCGGAGAAAATGGATTGACAGAGTGAATACACAACTTTGGACAATCTGGTTGAAAATTTGATTTATTGATGGAATAAGGTTGCAAATAGTCTAATAGAACAAATAGAATGATAAGCATGTGTTCGCCTAAATCAAGTTTGGTTTAAATTGAACTGGTCTGACATGATTTATTTAAATTGGCTTTGATCTAACTAGAGACCAAAACCAGTTCAATTAATTAATAATATCATACGAGAACGACCATCTAGGGGCCTCCTTAAAGGATAATATATTAGTAGCACATACAATAACAAAAAAAAACTCAATTAAATATAGCACTCCATATAAAATAATGACTAAATTGTGTACTAGTATCATGTCTTCTACTTTGACTACATTTTATTAATTAATTAATGTGAATTTTTTTTTTTGAAAAATATGGTTGAATCCGTCTCATTATTAAGTTTTATAATATGATTTTAATTATTTTTTCCTAATACATAATTAAATATAATGACGATCAAAGTTGTGCGTTAGCCATCGTGAAAAAAAGGAATGTTTCAACTAAAAAAGAACGAAGGAAGTATAAGATAATTTGCTTTTTCCATTCACTTTATTAATTAATTATAGGGCTTCAGCTATTGCAATTGAGACGTTTTTCCTACACTAATCAATTAACTACAAGCTAGTAACAACTAGTCAATCAACTCTTGTGTTGCTCGACAGAATTTACTCTAAAATTTTACTTTGATGAGTAATGAATGTTTTTAGTGAAAAATCAAGTTGAAGATATAAAAATGTTTAAGAAAGATATACGTAGTAGTTAATAACTAATGAATGGTAAATTGAAACTACATTTCAAATTTAGACCGTAAAAAATGAATGAAAATAGAAGTTCAATAAATCAAAGATCAAACAATAGAAACACAATAGTTACATATTTCACTAATTAAAAAAATGATGTCACATAAATGGGTGTTGTCATGTTGGTCTTGGCATATAATAGAGATATCCGCCTAGTTCTTGAAATAACATTACATCTTAATCGACACTTCTACCCTTCTCATTTTAAACGTCTTTGTGTATAGTAATTAAAAATTAAAAATTTAGCAATAAAATAATATGAATTTTTTATGATATGGAAATAAAATCAAACTTTCCAGATTTTGAGAAACTTATGCATACACCATTTTAATTTTGAAGTTTATATTTTGTGCCTCATGTTCACAAGATAGAATTATTATACCTTGAATGATATCAGTTTTGAACTTCAAAGTTTCAAAAGGGAAGTTTTGAAGTTTGCATTTTGCACCACATGTTCACAAAATAGAGAAACACAACATTTGATTTATGTACAATTTGCATACTTAATCATGAATAAGTATTAATACATAAATAAAGATAATAAATACTCCGTATGATAATTGTAGGAGAAATAATGAACATCATCTCTTACTAACAATGTTGGACTATAGTCCCTTTTTACTACTCCGTGTGTTGGATTAAAAAATAACTTAATAACGTATAATAACGATCGGATTAGGCATGGCAATGGGTCGGAGCGGGGCGGGTACTGCAAGACCCAGACCTAGACCCGCCCCGCCCTGTGGCCTGCACGGGTCCAAACTTGTTGACTCATGACCCGCCCTATTCGGAGCGCGTCCGCCCCGTCCCGCCGTAACCTAATTAGCTAGTACGTATTTTTATTTTGGGGAAGTTGTTACCACTTGAATCTACATAAAGTTTATCTCTAAATAATAATTAGAAATTAATATATTAAATCAAATTCATGATACCCTAAAAATTTCAAAAATTAAGGAAAAATTACTCAGACTTGAATAGTTAATCTATTTAATTATACTAATAATTGAACATATGCATTAAAATGTTATATATAAAGAAGACATTGATAATCCGTCGTTCATCTCATTCTAATATATGTATCAATATATTATAATATCAAGGAATTTATGATTTACTGTATACACACATATGTATGGTGAAGTATATTTGTAGTATAATTTAAGAAAAAATATGCATGCTTATGTATTGATCGGGTCGGGGCGGCACGGGTCAATACTAATTACCCGGACCCGCCCCATTGTATAGGCGGGGCGGGGCAGACGCGGCCCATTTGGAAGACGGGGCAGGCCGGACCCACCCCAAATGTGTCGGGCCAGGGCGGGTCACTGCAGGTCGTTTTTTTACATCCCTAGATCAGATGAGGTCGAGTTAACGTTATCAATTTTATCAAATAACACTCAAATTTGACATATCGTTTCATCAAGATGATGGATAATGTATGAGAAAGTTGTGTGGCTGCTACATTTATTATTGATACTGGAAAAATGTCAGAATTAGAAAAACTTCAATTTTGAGATGCTTGAAAAGACAAAATCTAGTCTTTGAGAATGCCAACTTTAGTCATTGTGCATAATAATGCAATAATGCATTCATTATTATAAAGCGTCGGAAATTTTATTATTGTTGATCTCATATGCACTAGGAGTGGACTGGGTATGTCCTGGTGTGGAACCGGGTCCGACACTGTTTGGGACGAGCCCGAGCTGGGAAAATTTGATTTGGGCCCGAGTTGGGAAAATTCGGTTTGGGCCGAGTCGGGAAAATTCGGTTTGGGCCTGAGCCGTGAAAATTTGGTTTGGGCCTGAGCCGTGAAAATTCGGTTTGGGCCCGAGACCGACCTGAGTCTGCCCCCAGGTCCCGGTTCACCTATTTGAGGATCGAACCATGCAATTCAGGTCTCGGACCGTCAATTTATTTTTGGCTTGTACACGGGGAAAACGAAAAAATAAAATGGGGTCGAAACTTGGACCGGGCCGCCCGGATACCCAAGGCCCAAAATGTGAATTTAATCGGGTCGGATTTGGACTTCGCCTACCAATGATTGGGAGCGGTCAATTCGGATTTGGGATCGAAACTAGAATTGGGACCGGCCGATCCGGGACCGGAACCAGGTCCACCCCTACTATGCATATAATGCATTCATTTAGTTAATGAATTCATGTTTCTATTGTTTGTAAGGATGTTTTCTTTTGGAGTAAAATTTACTAGTCTAGTTTGATATGGTCTCACCTGTTCAAGTCTAATCTTGTTTGATCTGAGTTGGTCTAGTTTGATTTGGTAAATGTCTGATCTTTTTGTATTTTATAAATGTCCAAGTCTGGTCTAATTAGATCTATTTAAGTCTGATCAGATCTGTTTAAGTCTGGTCTTGTCTGATCTAGTCTGGGATTGAAAATTGTCCTAAAGAAAACATACTAAATAGAAAAATGTATGTTTTATTACCTTTTCAATAACCTACAATGAGTTGGAGTTTTTTCTTTCTGAACTCTGAAGGGATCAAACTTATCTTTCATTTTAATCGTGTTTTTTTTAATCTATACGTGTTTAAAACACGTTTAAAGCTAACTAGGGTTTCTTATTATTACTTCAGCTATTATTACCGAGGAATCCTTCCTCTGTACATGTATTATTAACATCCAAGTCTAAAACTGTCAGGGAAGTGGTCTATTGTCTTCTCAGTTCTCATTTTATTAACAAGCAATGAAGATACTTTACATATATATTCCGTGGGAAAGAACATAAAAGAGTAAACAAAATTTACTTCTCACTACAAGCCAGATAGGAAGGATCTGCAAGCTTTCATCCCAAAATTGCCCTGACCATTAATCAATCCTTTATGCAGCTTATGAGATGATCTTTTTGCAACTTCCAAAATAGCTTACTCAACAACCCTCCATTCCTCTTCTTACTAGAAACAATGGTTAAGGAATCAACGTGATCTTCCTCTTCGACTGTGTTTCTATTTCCAATTGGAGATGGAACATCTTCTGGAGGCAATTCTTCCTCTTCGACTGTGTTTCTATTTCCAATTGGAGATGGAACATCTTCTGGAGGCAATTCTATTGCGTTGCTGGTACCTAAAGCAGAATGCCCATTGCCATTCAAAGTAAGTTCCTTGGTCTTGGGAGACTGACAACATTGACCACCATTATCCTCATCTAACATAATGTCAAGCAGAGATGAGCGACGTGCCAGGTTTTTCACAGGGGTAGAGATTACATTATCAAAAATGGGCATGTCCCTTGGTAAAGCCAATGCTTTCAACTGCTTTCCCAGGTTTAATATAGTCTCCTGACACTCGGCCAACTTTTCAGAAGCTGCTTCAATTTCCAAGTCCTGCCATGTTATACCACTGGTTAGACATTCATTGTTTCAAGACATAATGAATAGTCACTACGGAAAACATCCTGTCCAATCTTCCGGACAGGACTCTCCGTCCGGCCGCCGCCATTTGAGGTGGTTTCTGGTGGAATTTTTTGAATATATTTTGTGAGAATGTTTCTCATCAAGTGTAGATTATGTTCACAAAATTTCAGCTTAAAATTCAATCAAGAAGTCAGTTAAATAAATTATTGAAAAACATTGTGTCTTATATATTTATTTTGGCGCAATGTTTTTCAATAATTTATCTAGCTGCTTTCCTGGTTGAATTTTAGGATGAGCTTTTGTGAACATAATTCACACTTCATGAAGAACATGCTCACAAAATTTCATTAAAAAAAATCCACCGGAAATCGCCTCAAATGGTGTCCGGACAGCTGAACAGGATCATTCCTCACATTCATTAATCATTATACACAATGATGCTTCCATTTCCAAGTCCTACCAAGTTCATCCAAGACATCAGATGTCATACCACCCGCTTGGTAAGGGTGAATTCGACTGAGACAACTCGTTTTGGCCTAGATGACATGAAGTTGATGAACTTTGGTGGAGGAAAATTTTAACGAAATTGTAATGTGCGGAGTATAAACAAAACAGGATAGTTTTTTTAGAAACTCCAGTAAAAAAAAGGTATCTTCGTTTTTCATTATCAACCGATTGAATTTAAACACGAGGAATTTCCCAGAGTAAAATATATACTACCTCTGTTCAGGCTTAAGGTTCTCATTCAAAATGTCACGCTTTTTTAGACAATGTTTGAATAAGGTATTTGATTATATTTTGAGAAGTAGGTTGGGTGGGTATATAATATAATGTGGTACTTGATGATAATTATGATGTTATGACTATTATTTTTTAAATGTAATGATTAAGTTTTGATTTAAGAGCTTTAATTATTTCCTAAAATAGGAATGAGAAACTTTATCTGGGGCGTCCATATCAAGCAAGTGAGAACCTTTATCAATATAATAGGTTTCCGCAAATATAATTACTATTACTTGTGATTAAATATAAACTATTTAGCTATAAAAACATGTTAGTCTTCTTTATGTAGGGACCAAATAGATATTGTTTTAGGAATAAAACCATATCAAGTCTTGCATGGGAAAAGGAGCTATGTTTTACTCATATTTGGAATAATTATTTCTTTAATACAAATATGTAAAGAAATCAATAGCAAACATTGATGATATATTCTGTTTTAACAGGATAGTTAAGGAACATACATTTTGGCGCAGCTGTTCTTCATTTTCCAAAGCGTGCTGAGGAATTTCTTCGTTTGTGATGCTGAAAATAAGAAATGTTGTACAAAATGAAGACCCCAATAAAAGCATGCATTCAAACTTAATAATAGCATAGGCCATACCTTTCTAGATGAGAATACTTCTGACATACTTCATTTAATTCCTGTTTGGTTGATTCAATCTGCACCTCAAGTCCTTCTCTAATAATCTCATGTTTTTCATCTTCATCTTCATCTTCAGTCATCACCAAATTTAAGCCTCTAAGGTTTTCCACTTCCATTTTGAGACTATTGATTGTGTTTTCTGATTCTTGAAGCTGTACCATCAATGATTCAGTCTCAACTGTCTTTGATTGAGTTTCTTCCACTTGTGAAACACTTTTACGGTTGCATGATTCAATCGTCAAATGAGGGGAGGGTCCCACCTCACACTCTTCCCATGAGTCATCATTCCATTGGAAATGGTTTTTGATTGCATCCTCCATGCTTGAAACGTCCTGAAGAGAAAAACAGTGATTGACGATCCATTCCAAGGTACAGACTATATGCTGGCCAAATTTCTCAAGGTTGGCATTTCCATCCATCAAGTCTTGACACGTTTGGACAAATTCTTGAAGAATCAGAGAGAGTTCAGAAGTTTTCCACTGGAAATGGCGAACTGTGTAGCCAGCTTGTGTTTCCGAGACCCTATATGGTAAAATCCCTTCTATGATCTCAATTACTCTGCCAATGGATGGGTTCATACTTTTCTGGGTAGATGCCAAAATCTCTGATACACAGTCTTCATCTGTTTTCTCCACTGCTAACTTTTCCATCTCTACAAAGTCATCCATCAGATTCATCATGTCAAAAGCTCCCATGCTTTTTGAGAATGGAGTAAATGACTGCATTTTAACACAACTTGCTTTATTGCCACTACCCATATCAGACTGTGAGACAACACAGAGTTCTTGGGCACATTGAAGACATTTCCCTGCCGGTTGTACAGATAAACAATCTGTTGGAATCTGACTGAATTGTCCTTCAGCCTGTGATGTCTCAGAAGCTACTGCACAAGCATCTATAACTGTTCTTGCATTTCTATGGAGGGCTTCTTTGAGATTCCTATTTTCTTCTTCCAGCATGCATAATTGCTCTATCAGTAACTGTATTCTTTTGTTGGAACCAACATCCGATGCGAAGTCCATTGAACCAAACATAGAAGGATTTGGCCTTGTTTCACCTGTGTTCTTCATCTTGGCCATGGAAGCGGGGCCTGGTAGTCTCTTCCTAACAAGAAGCCGCAGCCTTTGACATTCAGATTCCAATCTTGCGATCCTTTTTACGTTCTCCAAGTGTTGCTTGTGAGAAGCTTCTGATGATCTGCGGTCAGATTCCCATTCCTCAGACTTAAGAGACACATTCTCCTTCTCTAGAGAATCTAGTCTAGTCATAAGGGCACTTAGTTCTCTTTCTGCTTTATCTCTTTGAGAACTTAAATTTTCAATAACTTTTTCCTTTCCTAGGAGGGCCTTACTGAGCTGAGTATTTTCTGCCCCCAGTTTTGATAAGTTTTCTTCTAAGGCAAGTATTCTTTTCTCAAATTCTTTGGATGTTTCGAACACAGCATTGCGGATCCTCTTTTCTTGCTCTCTTTGGACAGAACGCAACTGATGCATACATTCACTCAGCGCTGAATCTAAACTAACTAATCTTTTGTCTCCAGCTGCTATTTGGTACAATGCATTTTCTAGTTCTTGCTTCATATATAGTGCTTCTGTCTCGGCTTTCTCCCAACCTATAAGGTTTGTTAGTATAACAGAAAATGCTAGGAAAACGGAGAAGAAAAACTGCCAAGAAAAGTATTATTTTGCAAATATGTAGACATTACTTCCCTCTGCCCTAATTTAATTGTCGTTTTAACCAAAATTTCCCAATGTAACCGTTATATATTATGAGTCAAAATTTTCACGATAAATACTTTTTATTATTTTCAAAATTGTCTATGATAAACTTTTCTACAATAAATTCTTATATCAACTTAATGTGAAACATAAATAAGGGTAGGGGGGTCGTCTTATAAGATTTCTTAATATGCCCCACTTTTAAAAATAAAATGAGTATCCCATAAAAAAATAAAAGTAAAAATAAAATTAGTATCCCATAAAAAAATAAAAGTAAAAATAAAATGAGTATCATCAAGTATCTAAAATAAATTTATTGAGCTTTAACCCATCTTTTACCCTCCCCCCCAGCCCGACCCCCCACACCCCACACATGTCCTGTCCTTCCCGTTTTTCTTCATACTCCCTTCATTTTTATTACTTGCTCCATTAGGCTTTTGGAGAAAAAAATCAAAATTGTAATGGCATTGAATAAAGCATAGAATGTATTAAAAATGTAAGAGCACATTAAAAAGCAGGAAATGTAAGATGCAAGGATATCATGGTGTGTAGGCAAGGTGTGGCGCTAGATAACCACCTTGTCGCTTGGACGTTTAGGTGGGCATCTAGGCGACAAGTAGCCTTTTTCCACATTTGAGTACAACGTATTAAATAAATATAATATGAAATATGAAATATATAGTAAGGGAGTTACTAATTCATCATATTAACTCAGAACAAGAATCTAATATCAACTTCTAATTCATCATGTGAATGACATCTAAAGCAAAGAAAAATATCATAAAGAAAAACTTAAGTACAAAGATGAACAAAGTAATGAAAATGAATAAAAGGGAAGACAGAAAGAAGAAAAGTAAGAAAGAAAATCCAAACTTCCCGGGATAGACTGTATAATCAAAATTGATTTGCCAAAAACATATCCTGGGCTCCCTATGAATGCCTTGTTAACATCTGTGCAATGGCATTCAATAAATGGCGCTCTTTAAGCCACGAGGCCAGCCATGACAAGTGCTCTCCACTGCCTGGACACCTAAGCATCACCTAGTCAATGACTAAATGATGCCATGGCAACTATGGATAGAAGATGAAAGAATAATGACATGCATGTCATTTGACAAGCTCATATTCACCGAAAATGGAATGTAAAACAAATTTTAAAGAAAGATGCATAGAGTGATCCGAGAAAAAATAGATTATTACAAAAGAAAAGAGATATTATTACCTGCAATTGCTTCCTGTGCAATCTTTGCCTGTCTCTGTGAAAAATCATCTTTAGCATTACACTCTAAGAGAGCAGAAGAAAGCTTATCATTCAACTTTTGAATATCCCTTTCCAGTTCTGCTTTACCTTTCAATATTATCTCTAGCTGTGTAAACAAAAGGTAAGATTAATCAATTAATTGTCCTACTATGATTGATTGGAAGAAAAAAGAAGGCATATAAACTGCTTCGCTAAGTTTGTGGGATAAACCACTTGGGCCCAGTTTGGTATTGTTGTGTCTTTTAAGTTACTACACATTTTCCTGAAGTTGTTTTCAGCAAAAAAAAGTGTGGACTTTATATACCAAATCAAACTTCATGGTCGGGGGTGATGTTTTCAATCTAAGTACCCAGTTTTTTTACATCCAAAACAGAATATAATTATCATAAACACAAGGAAACACTTTTCAGGAGCACATAAAAAACTACATAAACAAGCAATGCCATAATTTAAATGCATAATAAATAATTAGAGTCATACTAACTGCATATATTAGTTTATATTAGGCAAAAATAATTAAAATATCCCAAACTTTGAAGGGGTGTGAGGTAAGCACCCCAAACTTGCATATGTAATTTAAATACCCCAAACTTTAAATACAAAATTATTTTAACACCATTGGCATGTATTATTTCTTTCAAAAATGTAAATTTGTGATGTTAATTGCATAATTTAATATAGCAAATTGAAAACGTTGCAATTATATAGAGTGGGGGCTAATACTATTTATTTTACAATGAAAGTTTAGAATGTTAATTGTATATTCATGAATGCTAAAATATTTTAAATTATAAAATCAACACCAAAAATTAATATTTTTGAAAGAAATAATACATGACCATGATGCTAAAATAACTTTTTATAAAGTTTGGGGTATTTAAATTACATATGCAAGTTTGGGGTGCTTACCTCACACCCCTTCAAAGTTTGGGGTATTTTAATTATTTTCCCCTTAATATTAATATCCTAATTCTTTATGAAATCCTAATGTAGGTTAATGTGGTTTACTCTCCTCACACTATTATATAGGAACCACGCCCTGCATATATTTTTTTCTATATTTGTATCTTTCAAGATCTACATTAAATATAAGTATAAAAAAAAATTGAGTCACTCAGGAATATTCTTATATACTTTGTATTATTTCTAAGTTCTAACATAGAACTCTACATCAGTCAAAATTAAAGTGAATATTCTTATTCTATTCTACTTATTTAAATTTCACATTATCTCCATAATTCTATATTTCTCAATGATCGTGCATGTATGAATCTTAGTGGGACAGACCGACGGAGTTCGTATTTTTCGTTATAGTTAATTGATTTTGCCAAATGGATTTCATGTTTCGTCGCCTTTTAGTTTTCCTGTTGTGCTTCATTATTATTAATCAAGAAATGTTTTTTATTTATTAAAATTGAATTTTCATTTTTTTAAATAATCAGTTTCTTTTATAATGAGAATGCAGGCTAAAAATTGGAAGAGGCGAAGAGCAATTTTAATGATACTCCAATATTTCATTTCTTTTAATTATTAATAGTACTTGGAAATATATTATTGTTGTTGTTGTTGTTGTAGAAGTTTAGATTTAACTTCAACTAAATAGGGAAAGGAAACTAAAAAAAGAAGCAAATATAGAGGGTTTGAGGTTTGTATAGAAAACATAAAAATAATACGTAGTATATGCCACAACTTTATTTACAAATTTTCAGTGATGAACTTTTTTATAATAAAAACTAAGTAATGTTGACAAAGTCTTGCAGGCCGGCCTGCTGGTGGGATAATTATATAAAGAATTATTTTCATTCACCACTCAAACTAAGATTAGTTGAATCCCGCGAATAAAAAAACCCAATTCGTATGCTAATAATCTCTAATAATCTAGGAGTTCTTTAATTAGAGGCAACAGTATTTACATTACGGAGCAATAATACTCAATATACAATATCTTACTCCCTAATATACTAATTAAAATAGCAAACTCGCATACTAATAAAATATTCAGTATCAATTAAACTTGAACTATATCTTTTTCTTCATTTTACTTTCTTTTTCCACTTTGGGAATAACTCCAATAATTGGCTAGGTAGGAAAATGACTGCTTAAAGTGATGACCTTTCTGTACCAGAAAAGGCGGAAAGACGGAAAAAGCATGTGGAGTGGATCCGTTATGTTTTTAGATTCATGCCAAAGCTTTGCTGGAAAATGAAAAGAGGAATATTGAAGTAAAGAATTAACGGGAAGAAGATACTGAGTCAGGCTTAATTACATCGTCTGCAGTTCTGGTAAAGGAGGAACGCCTTCCACAGTCGCCACCGACGGCAAATTTTTTCTTCCAAATCCACGACTTGTGTTCCATTTCTGTTCACGGGCGGCTCGCTTCAAAAACACGCTCGCTGTCATGACACCAAAATCGGCGTACATTAGCGAACTGTCCGAGCTTAAAATCGAAGGAAACGGAGACAAAAAAAGCGATCTACAGCAATAACAAATATACATACACAAATTTTTGAAGAAATGGATACATAGCTCTGAAAATGCGCGAAATGGATTCGACGTACCAGCATTTTGCAGGGGAAATGCGAGTTGGAAGATGAGGCGAAGAAGGATGGCTTGAGCTAATGAAATTTGTACCGACAATCAGAGAGGCTTTAAGCTGTGCCCATTGTTGCATATCATAGAGGGAAGGGAGCAGTAAGAAGCCAAGTGGAGGGACAGATAATGTACGGGTCTGGCTGGATCGGAAACTCTCGTGGGTCGGGTGATGATCTGCCTTACATTCCACCCGAACAAGGGTTTGGTGAGCTACGTACTATGGGAGTGTTTGCAACAGCTTCTGCTTTAAAAAAAGCACTTTTGGAGTGATTTGGAAAAAGTGATTATTTGTAAAAGTTGATAGTGTTTGAGAAAAAAGTGATTTTGAAAAGTAAAAGTTGGTAGTGTTTGGTAAAATAAGTGCTTTTGGTGTATAAAAAGTGGAAAAACACTTTTGACACGAAAGCCGAGAAAAATAAAAAATTGGTAGTGTTTGGTAAATAAGTGCTTTTTTAAGCCAAAAGCTGAGAAGTGCTTTTTTTAAAGTGGTTGCAAACCAGCCTTATGAGTGAGCGAGTGTCCATCCATGTGGGAGCATCTCCATTTCTCCAATGCGTCTAGTAGAGACTAGATAGTAGAGATCCCATTATTTAGAGAAAAGTTTTATTTATGGGAAAAATTATGAAATAAAAGAGGGGAATTTGACATAAATTATTCTCATTTATGAAATAAAAGAGGGTAATTTGAGTTTGCACCCTATATTATTGTCTAAATTGGACTTTGCACCCCGTTTTTTAAACTCTTTGGTTTTGCACCTCAACCCCATATGAAAACACAAAAATGCTCCTTCATTTAAAATTATGTTGACTTTCAACATATTCCTGATTGAGGGCATTTTTGTCTTTACATATGGAATTGGGGTGCAAAAACAAAAATTTTTAAAAACGGGGTGCAAAGTCCAATTTAGACAATAACATAGGGAGCAAACTCAAATTACCCCAAATAAAAACATGAATGTCTTACTTTGGAATTTCAATATGTTTTTACTCTAATTGCGATTTATATTTATTTATACACAAAAACTTTGTACATTTTTTATATGTACTACTATACAGATTTCCCTAATAAAAAGGTCGATTAACAAGCTACTTGAGATCAACTTAGTTGTTATTAGAACCTAACCTTAACTCAATTCCAACTTCAGTTAAACTCGTCTTGAATCGAATCAAGTCAAACTCAAATTATATACCCACGTCCCTTAAAACATTATCAACTTTTTTATTGTCTCATTAATTTTGTCACTTTTCTTTTTAAGTAAAGAATTTGTAGTTACAGTTAATTCTTTCTCCTCTACACAAATATCAGTCACACCGTTTTCACTTTATTAATTTTGTGCCGAGGAACGGAGGGAGTATAAACTTGACTCACATGCTACTCGATTATGAGTTAGTGTTGATTATTTTAGATTCATACATATGACATTACCTCATACTACCTCGGTTCTTAAAAAGTTGCAACGTTAGGAAAATTTATACTATTCATTGCTTTATTTTGACTATATTTTATTTACGAACAGATTGCTTTTTTACTTTTTACAACATATAATTAAATTCTTCTCACTAAATTTTCCAGATGTGATTTTTTGATTTTTTTTATAATTAGGGAATTAAATATATTACTACCACCGTCCCCCTAAATTTGGGACAAAGGGGTGTGGTGTGATTTTTAAGAAAAAGTAGAATTGTATGGTTGATATTGAATTGATAAAGTGTGAATAAAGTAAGAATGAATTTTAACCACTCAAATATTACCAAATATGGTATGAGACAAACTTAATGAGACGGACGAAAAAGGTAATACTGGGCAAAGTTAGCTTAACTATTGTGTCAGCTGCACTTTTAGTACTCGATTTTCAATTTTTTTTTTTCATTTTTAGTGCTTGACTATTGTGCGAGAGACATTTTAAATTATCGACTTCAAAGTTTCACACATTTAGTCGCCTGATTATTATCAAATTGACACTTTTAGTCCTACTGCGATTTTGACACAATAAGTGGAGAACTAAATTTGTCATCACTATTATAATATTTGAAGGACAAAAAATGTCATTTTATTAAAGTCGCATGACTAGTTATAGAAATTTTCAAAGATGAATACTCAAAATGTCTTTCACACAATAGTTCGTTGACGGACTAAAAGTGGAAAAAATTAAAATTGCAAAAACTCATATATTAATGATCAAAATTGTGTGTTGGCAATGTGAAAATGAAAATGTTGCCGCTAATACTCTATAATAAAGAACCGAGGAAATATGTCCATGGTATGGACCCATGCATAAAAATTATACTAACCTTCTACTAAAAATATTCTAGAGATTCACATATTACTACATATTTTATGCACTTTCTAAAAGTGTTATGTGAATTACAGGCTTTCTCGGAAAATGTTTAAACATATTTACGTAAGACTAGAACATAGTTCATCTTAGTTTTAAATAAATCATTGATGATTTGTATATATGTATTTAAATATAAAATAAAAAACTCTGTTTAAAAATAAAGGAGAAAATAAAATAATTAAAATACTCCAAACTTTGAAGAATTGTGAGATAAACACCCCACACTTTCATATTACGTATGTAATTTAAATACTCTAAACTTTATATGAAAAGTTATTTAAACATCATGGTCAGATATTATTTTTTTTCAAAAATGTAACTTTATGATGTTAATTGCATAATTTATCATAGCAAATTAAAAACGTTGCAATTAGATAGAGTAAGGGGTAATACTCTTTATTTTACAATGGAAGTTTAGGATATTAACTGTTTTTCATGAATGCTAAAATATTTTAAATTATTATATTAACACAAAAAACAACAATTTTGAAAGAAATTATACATGACCATGGTGCTAAAATCAATTTTATATAAAGTTTGAGATATTTAAATTACATACGCAAGTTTGGGATGATTACCTCACACGTATCCCTTCAAAGTTTAGAGTATTTTAATTATTTTCCCCAAAAATATACTACGTATCATTTTTTAAATAAATAAGATAAAAGAGTTGAACTTGAACTAAGTCACAATTTTTTGATTCGGCAGAAATCTGAACTTGATCTTTCTTCAAGTCTAAGAAGCTGTTCCGTTCGTCTTAATCTTATTACTTATTCCTTAATCTTATTTTATTCAGATCAGATCAGATCAGATCAGAAAGATTGAGATCAGATCAGATCAGAAAGATTCAGATCAGATCAGATCAGATCAGAAACATTCAGATCAGATCAGAAAGATTCAGATCATATCAGCAACATTCAGATCAGATCAGAAAGATTCAGACCAGATCAGATCAGATCAGAAACATTCAGATCAGATCAGAAACATTCAGATCAGATCAGATCAGATCAAAAAATTCAAACATGATATATCACTTTTATTATTATATTAATTATGATTATTATATTATAGTTGTTGTTAATAATATTAATATATTAATATAATAATATTATTAATAATATAATAATAATGTTAATAATATAAAATTATTATTATATTATAATAATATAATATAATATAATATAATATAATATAATATAATATAATATAATATAATATAATATAATATAATATAATATAATATAATATAATATAATATAATATAATATAATATAATATAATATAATATAATATAATATAATATAATATAATATAATATAATATAATATAATATAATATAATATAATATAATATAATATAATATAATATAATATAATATAATATAATATAATATAATATAATATAATATAATATAATATAATATAATATAATATAATATAATATAATATAATATAATATAATATAATATAATATAATATAATATAATATAATATAATATAATATAATATAATATAAATTATGATTTACAATGTAATTATAATTATAATCATCATTATTATTAATATGATTGTTGTTCTTGTTGTTATTTTTGTAATTATTATTACTTCGGAGTAATTATATATTTAAATTAGTAATTATAGATATAATTATGATTATAGAGATAAATATTATAATTATAATTACAAAAAAAATAATTATAAAATTAATCATAATTAAAAATATAATTACATTTATAATTGTATCTGTATTTATAATTAGTGTAATTGGTATAATTATTATAATTTTAAATTTAATTTTAATTATTATTTTTTTATAATTATGATTATAATTGTAATTTTATTTAAGTTATATTTTTAATTACAATTATAAATCTAATAATTATAATTATAATTACAATTATAGAAATATTCAAATCAGATCAGAAAGATTCAGATCAGAAGAATTCAGATCAGATCAGAAACATTCAGATCAGATCAGATCAGATCAGCAACATTCAGATCAGTTCAGCAACGTTCAGATCAGATCAGAAAGATTCAGATCAGATCAGAAAGATTCAGATCAGATCAGATCAGATCAGAAAAATTCAGATCAGATCAGATCAGATCAGAAAAATTCAGATCAGATCAGATCAGAACTTAAAAAATTCAGATCAGAAACATTCAGATCAGGTGAACGGAACAGCTTCTAACTTGATCTATGCCGAACTCGAACTCGAACTCAACTCACTCGAATAGCACCCCCTAGTTCGTCCTCTATTAGTCTACTGGTTTTCAACACATAATTTAGCTAATTTTAAATATGATTGTTTTTTAAATTAGTTGTGGAATAAATTTATATTAATAAATGAAGTATTAAATAGTATTAGGATGTTTTCTTTTGGACTGTTTTCAGTCTCAGACCAGACCAGACCAGAATTTCTTAGTTATAAAATACACAGAGATCAGACATTTACCAGACTAGACCAGACCAGTTCAGACCAGACCCGATCAGACCAGACAACAAACCAGACCGACAAATTTCAGTCCAAAAGAAAACATCCTTAATCTAAAAAGAATACTAAATTGATTATTTGACTTGATTCAGACCGTTTGTTCACCGTACAAAATAAACAACTTCATATACAAATATCATTTTATCCTGATATGCATCTTAACCTACACAGACGTTTTAATCCAGAAAGCACTTGATAGATTAAGAGTAGACAACCCTTCAATATAATATATAACCCGTTTGATAACAATAAAATTGGTCAAATTGATTATGCTGAAATTGATTAAGTGCTGTCTGAATGATATGACTAATTATTTTTTAATTTTAATAGTGACAAATTCAAATGCTTTTACTCTTTATCTTACTCATTATTTAGTCACATTGAAAATGATTAAAAGTGTAGTTTTTAAAATTTCAAACTCTTTTCTCAATTGCACAATTATAAGTTATCTAAACTAATCCTTTCAACAAAAAAGTTGTCAAAACTAATACAGAGTAAAAAAAGAAGTTTGAAGTTAAGACACATAAATTAAAATCTAGCCTAAAAAAAGTTGTCTAAACTAATACGGAGTAAAAAAAGAAGTTTGAAGTTAAGACACATAAATTAAAATCTAGCCTATTATGCTACGGACATCATTATTATTGTTTAAAGTTATTGTTTAAACTTAAATATGGAAATATAGCCTAGAATTTGTAATTTTGATTATTTAGAAATATAGCCTAGAATTTGTAATTTGTTTAGAATTTGTTCGGAATTTGTAATTTGTAATTTTGTATTAACTTCAAAATATGGAAATATTTTCGCATGCCTATTATGCTACTGTCATCCTTACGTAGGTTTTTCTAAATTCTTAAATTAGAAATTAAAATCTTGCCGACTTGTAATGTTAATACACATAAATTAAAATCTGATTTTGAAGTTGATAAAGTTACCAAATAAGATGAATATACAAAACGTAATACTCCGTAGAAAATAAAAGGTATAGAAAGTAATTAAATAATTGTAACACATGATGACATGGCAGGGTTATGTGGCACTCTGTATGCTTTTGAAAAGTTCCTCTTATATATATATTGATTTGTTTATATCCCTCCTTTACTCTTTCTTAGTCGGGCTTGAGACGTTTTTTTTAACGAAACTAGTTTAACTTATCATTACCAAACTGATCAAATGGACCGAACCAAAACAGGTTACAAAGTGACAACAAGTCTCCTGTCTATCGTCCGCCCAAGGAGTCAAGGACCAGACTCTGAATTAATCACCTTCGTAGAAGTCATATAATTGGCTGATCCCGCTTTGGGCTTACCGCTTACCTGAGCCAATGACTTGTAGACATGACTCCTCATCTCCTGTTTCAGTATCACTAGTTTTTTTTTTTCTGGAAAAACATAGCACGACCAAAATAAAAACAACATCCAGAATGTGGGAAATAAAAAGAACAAAACAAAAAGAGTAAATAAGTTTCTCAGCTAAAAAGCCAAAACCAACATCAAGCATCAGAACATCTGGCGAGGCTGGAGACCAGCGCCCGGACCATCCCCGTTTTTTGGAGAGTCCATCGCCATTGCATCCTTTACCGCATCCTCCCTTGCCTGATCCTCCCAAGTGCGTTTTCTCTTCGGCTCTCCTGGCACTCCTTCCTCTTGTGTGTCACTTGGGTTCATAACATTACCCATTCCAGCTTGAGTGCTCTCTTTATCAAGACGGACTTGCTAGTTGCTATGTGTACAAGTTTAACAAATTGTTTATGTTTGTTGCTACTATTTTGAGTTTAATATTTAAAAAACTTGTAAAACGACTTAGATATGTTTTTCTAATAAATGTTTCTATAGTAAATCAATAAAAGAAAATGATTTTTCAAAAATATTACTGAAATAACTTTTTTACAAAATTATGACTAAAATTGCTAGACAAGTATCATACTATCATGATCATTTAAGTATAAAAACTAAACATAAGTTATAATGATTACAGTTACTACTGTGGTCTAGGCCTGGACTCGGGCCGGTTCGGGCCCGGTTCGGGCCTCGGGCCAGGAAAGGGGATGCCCGAGCCCGAACCGCCGGTGGCCGGTTCCGGTTACGGTTCCGGGCCAAACCGGGCCGGGCCGGGCCGGGCCAAACCGGCCAAATTATTTTTTTTTTTGTTCTCCTGTTTAATCCCCTACTAGGGCTGGGTTCGAAAAACCGAAAACCGAATCAAATTAAACCGAACCGCAGCCAAATAAAACCGAACCGCTAAGAAACCGAAACCGAATGTAAAAAACCGAACCGAACCGAAGTTGTTTGGTTCGGTTTTGGTTTTTAGCCTTCAAAACTGAACCGAACCGAACAAACCGAATTAATTAAAATATGAAATTTATATGTTAATTGTTAAATATTACGGAGTAATTCTAATTAATATTAAATCATCAATAGTCTTTGGTTTTCTTGTGTTAGAGAAATAATGTTTGTATTATGTTTAATTTAATTTAGTTTATAAATTCATTTACACATTCATTGTCTGTAATAATGTAGCTATATTGAATGATGATAATATGTGTTTACTAGTTATTAGTAGTAATTAACTTTTATTTTTAGATAACTTAAAGATTTTGTATTGATAAAACAATAAATATTCATCTCAACTATATCACATGTAACGTATATATTCACGAACTTTTTTTGAACTACTCACAAACAAATTAAAGCAATAATATATACAGTTTTATCTATCTCGCATACTCATATAATTCAAGATATATTTATCTCTTCTCATTTTTATTTTATTTGTTATTGTGTTGTGCTTGCATTCTTTATGTAATTTGTTTGATCCCTCTAAGTATTATATCAATTTTAAATCAAGTAAGAATTTTTTGGTAAAAAACCGAAAAAACCGAACCCGAACCGAAACAAACCGAACCAATCAAACCATGGTTCCAAGTTTTGGAGTGTAAAACTGAACCGAAACCGAACCGAACTTTTTACTTCGATTCTATATTTGGTTTTAGGTCAAAACCGAACCGCAAGAACCGAACCCACCCCTATCCCCTACCCCTCCCCCTCAACCCCAAACCACCCCAAACCACCTCAAATGGCTCAAAATACTTATTCCAACCCAAGACTTAAAAATTTTTTCAAAAAAAAAGAAAATAAAATCCGGCCCGGACCGGGCCCGAACCGGCCGGGCCGGTTCACCATATGGAAGGCCCGGGCCCGGAACCGGGAACCACCGGGCCGGTTCGACCCGAACCGCCGGTGGACCGGGCCACCAGGCCGGGCCGGTTGCTACAGTGGCCGGGCCGGGCCGGTTCCGGGTCGGGCCGCCCGGCCCGAGTCCAGGCCTACTGTGGTCACTATAATTAAGAAGACATATTTTGATAACATCATTTATTTTGATCATAAATTTATAATTATTTCATAAATTTGACTGTTTAATTATTTAAATTGCAATGTATTTATTTTGTTACGTTTGAAATACTGAAATGAATTTTATGTTTTAATCAAATGATTATAATGTTCAAAATGAATGTGCATGAACATGACATTACAAAAAACATAATAAAATTTGCAAGTCTAGAATAAAGAATTATAAACTATGCAATACTATTTTTTATACGATTGTAATATTTTTCATGACTAAATCTACTGTTAATTTTGTAATTAGTAAATGAATATGATTAAATTATGTTGATTTGTAATGAATATATTATGACTAAAAAGTATTACCTTAAAACAATAAAATTACGAGGAAACAGTGGAGTAACTGATGATTTTCCATCAATCACCCATCAAAGCAAGTATGCAAAACATGACCAAATTATACAGAATAACACCAGAATTTATACAGGTTAAAGCAGCTATAGTCCAAGAGATCCAGAAAATAGCAAGGCCATCACCAGTTCACCACAATTATGCACAACTAAAGGGGCCAAGAGGAAGCAGTTAAACCGGAATATGTCTAGACAATAGCTGGGTATAGCTTGGCCTGCTGATGTACCCTCCTTTTGTACTCCACAGGGTCCTGCAACATAGATAGTATTCAGACTCTTATCCCTAAAGAACGAATGAGGCACCACACTTCTTTCCCAGTCAAGCAGTCTAGATCATGTGGACCACCTAGGGGGTGCAAATTGAGTCGAGCCGAGTCGAACTGCTCGATAATAATGCACTGATTCGAGCACGAGTGAGCCTAATAAATTTGGCTCGAGCTCGGCTTGAGTATTGCTTATAAACTTCTATATGTTCAGGCTCAAATAAAATATTTGAACTAGAGATCGAACTGAGTTAACAATACATTTTCTCTTTTCAAAACTATTAATATTATATTTATACATACTAATAAATATACTACGTATGATATTTGTACTTTGTCATATAATTTTATTAGATTTTCTCTCCTTCACTAGCATTTTTACTTCTTAGTTCTTACAAAGTATTTAACTATCGATTTAAATTTAAAATATATAAATAGAAATTATAAATATATACTTCATCCGTCCCAACAAGATTGGGCAAATTGACTTTTCTTGGTCAATGATGGTCAAGTTTGACCATCATTGACCAAGATATCTTTTAATACAAAATTTATTATAATATAAAATTATATGTGCATATTCTCTAATAAAATATCTTTCATAAAAGTATAAAATTTATAAATTACACACAAATGTAATACCTAAAATCATTGTCTAAACTTTAAAACCATTGACCAACAAAAGTCAAATTGGCCAATCTTTTTGGGACGAAGGGAGTATAATATGTGTGAATATATATATATATATATATATATATATATATATATATAGAGAGAGAGAGAGAGAGAGAGAGAGAGCCACGTTCCTGTCCAGCCGGCCTGACGGGAACTGCTGTCTAGCCGAGGATTCTGTCAAGCCGGCTGGACATGAAAGATCCTCTCTCTATGTGTGTGTGTGTGTGTTATGGCTTGCGAGCCTTCGAGCTAAAGAGAATTGAGCTCGAGCTCGTCTTGATTGCTTAACGTGTCGACTCGGTTTTGAGTTTAACAGAACCGAATTGAGTTTTGATTGGGCGGCTCACGAATAGATCACGAGCAGCATGACTCGTTTTAACCCCTAGTACACCTAGTGCACAACTCGGTTAGTGGTGTACCACTTAGATGTCAAAAAAGAAGTTTACAAAATATATTTATCTTATAAAAGAACATTCTTTAATATTTATAATAAAAACATCAACATGTTGTAAATATTATGCATTTTTTGTGCTTAATCTTATTACAACCAATACAGATCATGGTTTTACAAGTGGAGGGTTAATAGAATATACTTCATATATTCATTTACACGAAGTACTTGCTATCTTTTATAACGAAAAATCAAGTTGTATATTCTTACATGAAATTTAATAGATTTTACACACAAAAATAACTAAAAAACTCCTACATGTTTTTTATACAAAAATTATAACTATGAATAAATGATTGTTTATAACATAAATATACTTTTTCGAACCGTTTTTGGCATCTCCGTGTAGCTGAATAACTGAATTAATTAAGTGGTGCACCTAATCTGGACCAGTGGTTGCAGTGAAGATTTTATAATAATAAAAAATAGAGATGCAAGAAATTGCCTGAATAAAGAGATGATAGCCTTCAGTCTGAGCTGGATCAGCAGGATTTGGCAGATCTAGCAAGTCTTGGATACCAACAAGAATCTGTTTGACTGTAATGGCTGGTCTCCACCCCTAGAGACAACCAAAGACAATGGAACACCATCGATAAACAAATTAACTAAACATAATTTGCTTGAACTTCATTATATTTAGCATATGATGCATACAGAGTCTTCATTAAGGATTGAGAGGCAAACTGTCCCAGAAGGATAGACATTAGGGTGAAAGAAACCCTGTGGAAATTTACACTTCGGCGGTTTGCTCGGGTAGTCCTCACTGAAGTTCATCGTAAGTGGATAATAACCACCATCCCAGTCAGTCTGCGAATTGTAAATAGTTAAAACCAAATTTACAAATGTTGCTCAGAGATATCAGGATTCGAGCGAAAGAAAAGTTTCTCCATGCAATACTTCAGACATCAACGGGTAGAGAATAGTATGGAGTATCTCAGCATGCAAATTTCAGGAGCACATTTATTTATAAGAACAAATAAATGGATAGGAAAAATAATATCAGGGGTGTTTACTGTTTAATAGTGAATATGACGTTCTTGGCAGCATATGTAGTTTTATTTTCCACATTCCATTTTTTTTTGGTAGGAGGGCAGGGGAGAAAACCAACACCAACTCCCTACAAAGGGAGGCTAGGGGTGACCAAAGTTCTATTTAGTTCTGAAACAGCATCTCAACGTCCAATGACAGAAGGAATCATAAAACAAGGTGCAGTATCGACTTTATTTTTTACACCCTCCAAGGGTCCATCCCTTGATAAAATTCATACTTCGACTTTTACTAAATTGAAAGTAATCAGATATTTTTTAGTTGCAGATAAATATTACTGACTTACTTTAAGGTAGATTTTTTACACTATTAGTTACTTAGTTCAGGGTAGTAGAGTATATTTATAAGATTTTTTTTACCAGACACGGAAAGAGGACTATATTTAAGTATATTCCAGAAAAGAATGCATCAACTTTAAATATGACAGAGGGAATACTATTATAGTTTGCTTTCCTACAAATTTCATTTTTACTTGTGACTTTTTAGTTTTAATTATTGGCGGCCCTTACAATTATGTTGCAGCCCCTACATGTTGGCATGAAGGAATGAAGTACAACTCTACACGTTATGGTTAAGAACAACAAAGTCTAGAACCATGGTTTCAGTCCTGATTCCTAAAATATAAAGGAAAATTTCAGGGACAGAGGACCAAGCTGGAAGGAGGGGATACAAAGGGTATGGCTATATGGATGAGGATTTTGGAGGGTTTAGTTTATATCATGACATATAGAATCTTTTTAAAAACAAAAATAAAAGGTGTTGAAGTTTATACATCACATACTCCCTCCGTCCCGTTAGAAGGTTCTCACTTTCCTTTTCTGGACGTCCCATTAGAAGGTTCCCATTTCCATTTTAGGAAACAATTAACAATCTTAAGTGACAAATTAGTCATTAAATATAAAAAATAATACATTTATAACATCACAGTTATCAATACTAACACATTATAATATATATCTATTAAAATTTTTTCTCAAAATATGCCCGAAGTACTTTATTTATTTATCACCTAAATAACCGTGCCGTTTTGCTATGAGAACCTTCTAGCAGGACGGAGGTAGTATTATGTTACTCTTTTAACTTTTAATAAAATCTCAGACATGTATCAAGATTTAGACCAAGCCTTCCCCTCAGAAATCCTACACCCATACGACCATACTGACTCTTGAGTTCCTACCATGAAACTTTGCCTGGCTAGAAATCAACATTAATACCTTCAGCTCTTTGGGATGATTGCTTAAGTAATGTTTTTGGTAAAATCATTGGAACAGGTTGTCCATTGTTGGTTATAGTCTTATACATTCCAGTACTTCTACCCAACTTATAATCTACTATATTATTCACAATGCATATACATCAACAACAACAAAACACATATGGTGTTATAAGCTTTAAGCTGTATCAAATGCTATCTACGAAAGTTTGAAAATATGCATTATGTGTTTGAGTTTAATATGGTTCTATAACAAAGTACTGTACCAACCTGTGAACTACAGAAACTTCCCAGGACTCACATTTCGTCCGGAAACTCAGAGGTGTGTCAAACATTTCAATACCCGTTTCAGGGGCATTTTAGGCATCCAAAAAATTTGGGAACCCATTTCACTAACTAAATTTCATTTCAAAGACTGCTTCCAATTCTTTTCTTTTTGATGGAATCTCTTGATGGATAGTATTGTTCATTTAACAAACTTAGCAATGGATTTTTTATGAGATTTTTTCATAGCAATTTGGTCTTTGGCTCTTGGTGATAATTCGAGGCACAATGTCTTGCTAGATATGTTTTGCCTTTTAAGTTTATCATTAGTTATTTAGCAAAATTATATGAAAAATATGTACACATATAATTGAAAAAATATGTATATGATATTTATATCTATATATCTTTATATATATAAATGTATCCATGCATTTTTTAAATATTCATGTGCCTCTCCGGTGGTTTGTATCCTGTATTATTTTTAAAAACGGTTTCACATGTTCTATTTTTCCTGGTTTAGGGAGTGTTTGCATTTGATTAAAAAAAGTGCTTTTCAGCTTTTGGCTTAAAAAAAGTTAAAAAGAGTGTTTTCAAATGACAGCTTCTGCTTAAATTAATCACTTAAAAGCTAAAAGCTGGAAGCAGGTGGAAGGGTGCTTTAAACTGCTTTTCACTTTTTCTATTACACAAAAAGTACTTATTTTACCAAACACTACCAACTTTTACTTTTTCAGAATCACTTTTTCCTCAAACACTACCAACTTTTACTATTAATCACTTTTCCCAAAATCACTTTAAAAAATCACTTCTTTAAAGTTGAAGCAATTGCAAACACTCCCTTACATTCCCCATTTCTCTGCCACTTAAGTACCAAGGGAATTGCAGTTCCATGCATCAAAGTAACATGTAGAGAATATTCCAGTTAGATTAATTATGAATTTATGGTACATGTTTTTTAACACACAACTTATCCAGTTTTCCTACTTACAAGTGATCAAAAATCAAATTAGACTATCACCAATTAACCCCCCCCCCCCCCCCCCCACCTTATACCATTCTAGGAATGTCAAAAATACCCGACCCGCAATGACCCGAGACATTTGGGGCGGGTCCGCCCCGCCCCGTCTTGCAAATGGGGCGGGTCCGCTCCGCCCCGTCTTGCAAATGGGGCGGGTCCGCCCCGCCCCGCCTATACAATGGGGCGGGTCCAGGTATTAGAATTGACCCGTGCCGCCTCGATCCGCCCCGACCCGACCCGCTCAATATATAAGTATACATACTTTTTCATAACTTATACTACAAATATACTTCAACATACATATGTGTGTATACAATAAATCATAAATTCTTTGATCTTATAATATATGAATATATATTAGAATGAGATGCACGACGGATTATCAACGTCTTCTTTATATATAGAATTTTAATACATTTATTCAATTATTAATATAATTAATTAGATTAACTATTCATGTTTGAGTAATTTTTCCTTAATTTTTGAAATTTTTAGCGTATCATGAATTTGATTTAATATACTGATTTTTAATTATTATTTAAAGATAAACATTATGTAGATTCAATTCGTAACAACTTCCCACAAATAAAAATACAAACTAGCTAATTAGGTTGCGGGGGGAGGGGCCGGTCCGCCCCGCCCCGCATGAGGCGGGTCATGGGTCAACAAGTTTGGACCCGTGCAGGTCATGGGGCGGGGCGGACCCGCCCCGCCAAGTCACGGGGCCGGTCCGGGTCTTGCAATACCCGCCCCGCCCCGACCCATTGCCATGCCTATACCATTCTTAGATACTAATTCGACACTAATATTATTGATTTACTATTCAATTTTTATGCTTCTCTAAAATGATTTTCCCACAATAAGTGGCACTTTTTTCACCATCAAATAATGTAGGAACTGCTATTTGAGCACTGCTAATAAATCTTATCAATTTTAATCTTGAACAATAAAGTATCTAAGACTACTGTTAAACGGAATTTTAATGTTGAAGGGGATGCGGTGGACCCTCTCGTCGAAGACTGTCGCTTTCTTCTTAATCCAACTCATATCAAGGGCATACATCATTCTCTACGAGAGGGTAACAAATGCGCTGATTTTTTTAGCAAATATGGCTCATTCCTATCCCAAAGGAATGACTATTCTTGAAGAGGCACCAGAAGAGCTAGCTCGCCTTCTTTGGGAGGACAAAAATGGACTCAAAATTATTAGACTATAGCTTTTGTTATTTCTCGTTTTTTATTTCCGTTGTACCCAAAAAAAATAAAGTATCTAAGACTAGACACATAAGTTTAAGAGCCCTTTGGTAAAATTTAAAACAGGTGAAATGGTTTAATTGGCTAAAATTGTGGCTGAAATGGCAGAATCTTTTAAAATATACGTAGTATAATTTAAAATATATATATATATATATATTTAAATAATTAACGAAAATATTAGCCTTAAATGCAACCCCCTCCTCTAATTTCCTCATACACTGCGCTACTTTTGTACACTTGGCACTGCTGATGTGTACAGAAGGCCCCATACACAACACATCTTCTTCTTCTTCTTCTTCTTACCCATCCCCCCTCCATGCACCCCTCCTCTTACCCTTTGGTTCTTTGCATCCTCCTTTTCCCTCTTTCTACCATTACTATACCTTAGAAACATTACATGATTCCTGTAGGAGCATAAGGCTCCCTTAGTCTGTGGCCTCCTACTTTCCATGCCTGAAAAACTAAATGGCTTCATATTTTCACCCAAAATGCTAATGAACAAAAATGGAGGGGAGCCTTGCCGCACCGGTTACGGTATTGTTGTGTGACAAAGAGGTCAAAAATTCAAGTCTTGAGAGTGGCATCTTGTCAAAATGACAAGGGAAGTCTTGCTAGTTGCTCCTTTTACACCCCTGTGGTGGGGCCTTTCCCCGGACTCTTGTCTTGAGGGGACGCTAATGTGCGCAAGGCTTATAAATCTAAAATGCTAATAGTAAAAAATAAAAAGTGGTCTTGTTTTTAGTCAATGGAAAGCCCAAGTCCAATTTTAGTCATTCTTTCTTTAACATGGGAGCCAACATTGCCAATACTCGATGAAAAGCTGAAACCTGTTTTAGTCATTCTTTCTTTAAAATGGGAACCAAAGTTTCCAAATTGTAATGCCAATTTAGCTACTTATTGGCTGAAAAGTCTGATAAACTGAATATAGATGTTAGCTGTAAGAGATTTAGCAGCATAAAGAGAACTCCTCCATAAAATTGCTCAATAACCTTATTAAAGCATGTCAGTATGCACCTTTCATCAACCAAATTTACCTTCAACCAACTCAACTTACCAATAAGGTTGACAATTTTGGTGAAAATATACTCGTATGTGAAAAGAAAAGGGTATACAGGTGCATACACCGGGCTTTCCTGGAATGGTGCAATTCCAAACCATCAAGTTTACTGATCCGTCAGGAAGTGTCTCCGGCTTAGCCACGAAACCCTAAGAGTAAACAAAATCTGAAGTTATTGAAAGACAAATCAAATATAAATGACAGGAAAATCACAATCTAAAAAACTAAAGTCATTTGAAGACTGCGATTCAAATGAGAAAAACATGTGGAAATGTGAAAGAAGAGACACAAAATAATAAGGAGAAGAAGGAGATGAAGAAGAGAGTGAGTCAAACATGAGGATGATTTTTGCGCCATGCTTTGCGTTCCTCGGCGAGACGACCGCGAGCAATTCCTCCCAACATTGAATCCGTCACCAGGAACAGTTCTGATTGCACACTTACGGTGGCAAAGAGACGAACGGAGACTTAAGTTGAGTGTGCGGACTCTAGCATTACGAAGTAGCTAATTTCTTTGGAAGATGGCAGCCTTACCACATCCTTGGATCATGTAGCGGATGAGTTTGTAAAATTTTTTGTTGATTTATTTGGTACCTATACGGAGAACCTTGACCTTGACCTTCGGTTTTAGGAACCCGCCCTTTGATTGAACAAGTGCTCATGATAGCCTTCTTGCTCCGGTGACAAATAAGGAAATTGAAGATGCCTTGTTTGACATTGGGGATGACAAGGCACCAGGGCCGAATGGGTTCTCCTCGGCCTTCTTCAAATCCAATTGGAATATTGTTGGAGATGACATGGTTCGAGCGGTTAGGGAGTTCTTTGTGTCGGGAAAGCTGCTAAAACAGATCAATCACACTGTTATTGCGCTTATCCCAAAGACCAATCATTCCCCAAAGGTTTCGGACTATCGACCCATATCTTGCACGAATGTCCTATATAAAGTTATTACAAAAATCCTTGCGGCTAGATTGAACCCATGCCTTCCGGGGTTGATTAATCAAGCCCAAGGCGCGTTTGTGGATGGCAGCCTAATGTTTGATAACATCTTCCTAGCCCAGGAACTTGTTAAAGGATACAATAGGAAGCGGATCTCACCAAGATGTATGATTATGGTGGATTTGCGCAAGGCCTATGACACGTTTTCGTGGGATTTTCTCGAAAAAGTCTTAGGGGGTTTGGGCTTCCCTCCTAGATTTATTGCATGGATTATGGAGTGCGTGTCTACCGCTTCTTTTTCAGTCTCAATTAATGGATCTTTGTATGGATTTTTCCAAGGTAGGAGAGGCATAAGGCAAGGAGACCCAATGTCCCCTTTGCTCTTTGTGCTATGCCTTGAATATTTTTCCCGGTTGCTCACCATGAGAACCCGAGGGGGAAATTTTAATTTCCACCCCCAATGCGCTCCTTTGGGTATTACCCATTTGGCTTATGCAGATGATCTACTAATGCTCTTTTTTAAGGGGGATACCTACTCCATAGAAATTTTGGTAAACTCTCTTAAAGAGTTTGGAGACGCATCTGGCCTTAGAGTGAACCACGGAAAATCCAATATCTTCGTGTGGGGGGGGGGGGGTGAGGGACCTTGAATTGCAAAACATTTTGAGCCTCGTCGACTTAGGGCAAGGTACGTTTCCGGTTAGATACCTTGGAATACCCCTTGCCCCTTTAAAAATATTGATTGCTCAATACGCACTGTTATTAGATACGGTCAAAGACTTTCTTAACGCTTGGAATACGAAGACACTCTCCTATGCCGGTAAGATAGAGCTAATTCGATCGGTGATCCAAGGGGGCCAATCGTTTTGGCTCCAAGTCTTTCCGGTGCCACAAACCGTGTTGGATAGGATTGTTTCGTTTTGTAGGATTTTCTTATGGGGGGGCAAGTTCTCAAAGGTGGCTTGGGACGACATTTGTCTCCCAAAAGAGGAGGGTGAGTTAGGAATCCATAATGCTAGAATATGGAACGATAGCCTCCTTTCTCGCACATTATGGGATGTACATAATAAAAAAGACACCTTATGGGTTCGGTGGGTTAATGGCATATATCTCCATGGGAGAAGTGTGTGGGATTTTATCCCACACAGTCGTGACTCACAATTGATGAAGAGGTTGGGGCAAATTAGAAATAAAATCCGTGGATGCTTTAATAATTTGAATGATACGATTTTGGGCCTTAACTCTAGAAGCACTGATGGCAAACTTGCCTCCGCCAAGGTTTACGAGCTTCTACGAGTTAAACGGATCCCTAGGACTCCGATGAGTTTTATTTGGAAATCCTATATCCCCTCGAAACTTTCATTTAATGTTTGGTTGGCTTTGAGGAACCGCCTGCCTACTCAAGATAGCCTCGGTTATCTCCATATGGTTAATAGATGTGACTTGTGTAAGGGTGGATTGGAAACAATTCCACACCTATTCTTTTCATGCCCATTTACTTGTAGGGTATGGGACAGGACTCGAGAATGGATGGGATTTGGGCATCAAATATCTACATTGCTTAGCTCAATCAAATGGATTTCCAAGAAGCACAAAGGATCAACTTTGAAAGCAAAGGCGGCCCGAATTGCTTTATGTGCCGCGGTGTATTACATATGGCATACAAGGAATGTGATCCGCTTTGATGGTGGCAACAAGACCGAGGAGGACGTGATAGCCAAGATTAAGCATATCGTCTACAAGATACTCTATAGTATCTATCCATACAAATTGATCAACTTTTGAGTGGACATCTTGGATGCCGTGACATGGAGCAATGTTTGGTACTGGGGTGTATGCAAGTTGCAACACCTTTGTGTTTTTGTTATGATTTGAACTTTATGATCTATGTGCGTGCATGTGTAGCACCGATGTATATTTTGTTTTTTGACGGGACAAGTATTTATACTTGACCTTTTTGGCGTAGATTAGATCGAATAAAAACCTCCTTTCACCCTTTCATTATGTGGGGGTGGGGGGTTAGGAGATCTAGGATACATGATGTATAATTTTCTTGGGTGTTAATATATATTTACATTTCATCAAAAAAAAAACGAAGTAGCTAAGACCATTGACGAACACACTGGCATGTGGTGGCAGTATTTTGCAAACAATAAAAAAAACACTCTTTTGTGCTTAAATTAAAAATAAAATAAAAAATAAAAACTGGAAGTAGATAGGGAGGTGATTTGAACTGTTTTATTTTTTTTTATTTTTTTTTATTTTTTTTTACTTTTTTATGGTACAAAAAACACTTTTTTTTATCAAACCATACCCAATCTTTACATTTTTTAAAATATTTTTTTCCTCAAACACTATCAACTTTTATTATTCAACAATTCTCCAAAATCACTGTAAAAATCATTTTTTTAAAATAGAAGTGATAGACTATAGTATTAGAGAGCTAGAGAGAGAAAGAGATGTGTATATAAATAGCTTCCAAAGGGAGTATTTATAGGAGAAAAGTGGTTAGGACTTCCGGGTCTTGAGTCTGGGAGGCGCGGTTACAATAATGGACTGCTAATGGGCTATTTACAGGTGTTTATTCTGCTAAGTACAAAGTAGAGTTATTCGTTGTGGATCTTGGACGAGGTGACTAGGCCAAGATGAACATTCTTGATCCATGACTTTAATCTTCATCTTCTAGGTTTCATATGTGTGAGCCGTTGTCCAGACCCAATAGCCGTAAGACTGGAGGTCCGAGTCTATATACTTTATGAGGAGTCCTACTCCCTAAGGCGAGATTCCTGAGACGAAAGAGAGTAGAGCTATGTGTTGATATGTCATCGTATGGTGGAGTAAACTTCTAGAGCAAATTATATGGTAGAGCTGGTTGTACAAGTGCATAGTCTAGTCGACATTTTTGTAATTACTTCCAAATCATGCGCTAATATTTAACTGCTCTCCATTCTTATTCTTTTTTTACCTCCGTTTCTTTGGCTCTTCCCTTCTCCGTATTCTGTTTTTTCTTTCTTTCTTCATTTGTTTGTTTCCTACTTTGCTTTTCGTTTTCCTTCTTTTTTTTTTTTGGGAAAAGGTGACTTAAAGAAGCAACCAGATTCATTGATCCTGAAATGGGCTGATCTGAGTCATTGACTTGTAAACTAGACTCCTCATCACCTATCCTATGTTCTAGAGTTTTGACGTGAATAAAAACTAAAGCAAACAGAAACACGTGATGTCCGAAACGAAAAAAAAAAACAGTATGAAAGTAAAAAAGTCTAAAATTAAAGAGACTTTCAATATGTAGAGAACACCAAATCTTCATGGATTTTGGCGGGCGTGGATGCTCCGGCCCGCCTCTTCCCTGTTTTGTATCCCATCAACAACCATGACATCCTCCCCTGATCTCTCCTGCTCATGTGCTTCCCAAGTACGCCTCCTCTTTTGCTCTCCTAGTCCGTTGTTACTCTGTCCCGCACCATCATTTTTTGGTGTTCCCACACCTCCTTGGGTCTCATCTTTCATATAACTCTGGCCTTGTTCATATTTCTCATGGAGGTTTCTTTCTGGCTTAGTTAACTCTCTTCCCGCACCTCTTTCATTCACAAGCCACTTATTACCCAAAGATGGGCGAGGCCTCCCTCCTCCCGCTCGCAACCACTGACCAAAAGATTTAACAACGGCTTTATCCCCCTTTTCATACAATAAAGGACAAAATCTCTCAGCATGCCCTATTATACCCCAAGCAAAGCCAAAGCTTGAGAGTTTTTCATACTTGAAATCAACTCAGTACCATTCTCCTTTGCTCCTTTTCAAAGTTGTTCCCACCTTCAAGGGATTTCTTACATCCAAATTCACCCTGGCCCTCATATGGGCCTCCCACTTCTCATCAAATTGGTTATCATCCCAGGTAATAATTAAACTTTCCCAAGTGATATTGTGCATATGGAATATGGAATATTGTGCACCTGTACCAAAAAATCAGCCGAATCCAGAGGGACCTTCAAAGGCATATCCCCCAGTTTGATGGGCCTTAACACTAACGGGTTTTGATCTAACAGCCAAGGTCCATTTTCCAATCAAGGTTGTTAAAATCTCGATTTAAATAGTAAAATCGCACGATTTTACGATTCTACATTAATAAAGCGATTCAAATCGCAGGTAAAATCATAAAATCGTACAAAATCGTAAAAAAATCGTCCTAAACTCGTGTAGAATCGTATAAAATCGTAGCAAAATCGTAGCAAAATCGTAATAAGTTATTTTTGGTGAAAATGGTTCAAATTTATTAAAATTAACAACTACAAATTGATACATAATTCCAATAATAATAATAATATGAATAGTTTATTTATAAAAGTAATGGATTCTTGTGTTACTTAATTATTTTTATGTTTTACATATGTTTAATGTTATTATTCAATACATTTACATTATAAAAACAGTTTATAAATCTTGCTTTTGACATTTTAGGTATAGTTTTATGTAATGAAATGATATAATATCATTAACTTGCAACTTAATTTTAATATTTATTTATTTTATAATTATTAAAATATGTTTGGTAAAATCTTACGATTTGTGGTTCGATTTTACGATTCGATTTTTAAAAACATCTATCGATTCGATTCAAAAATACGATTTTAACAACCTTGTTTCCAATACACAAGTCATATCAACAATATGATAAAATTTAAACAGATACCTCATTTCTCCGATATCCT